TGGTAAATTTAAAAAAAAAATATTTAGGGAATTAATCATATAGAGGAGAGAAATGTCTCTGTATCTACGCCTAAAAATTATCACAGGAGACTGACCCTTTGTCACTGTCCATGGATGAATAAATGATACACCCCTTTGGAAATATTTTTTTCCCCTTTGGAAATTGAGTTGAGTAATATTTGTCCAGAAAGCTCTCGGTTGGATTGTGGCTTTGTTTCCTTTGTCCTCATCTAATTGGATATCTATCTATTTATCAATTAGTTAGCAGTCAATAAAATTAGTGGACTTGGAACAAAAAGAAAAAAATTAGATGTATTATTGTTGTGTACCTATAAGAACAGTAACTTTTTATAACATTATGTTTGGGAAGGGAGTAAATGATAGGGGGGCGTAAAATGCAGGGGTAAATCCTTTTCCTAAGAACTTTGCACCCATTTGGCAAGGTTTTGAATAGTAGGGGGTGCAGAGATTGTGGTGCAAATCTACTATTTGCCCAAGCCCCCCAAATTTGGGTGCAAGGGGAGAGAGAAAGAAGGAAAAGAAATAGGGGAAAAAGAGAAGTAGAGAGACCCACGTGAAGGGACTTAAAGGGAGAAAAAAAATGATTTTGTTTTTAATTTTAAAGTTACTTTTTAATTTTTAATATAATTATGTTATTAAAATCTAAACCCTCTTCTAATTTGCACCCTCCTGCTTTTTCTCCCAAATGATTTTTTGCACCCCAATTTGCACCTTCTTTAAATTTGCTCCCCATATGATTTACACCTCAATTTGCACCCTCCTCGAATTTGCACCCCCTCGTTGCCAAACGGAGTGTAAAGAAATAAGCACAAATGCTAGCAATGGCCAGAGAGTCAGACTGAGAGAAAGAGAGCGGTTAAAGTGGGAACCAATCTGATTTCTGATCAGACTTTGGGCCAATGGGAAGAGCGAAGAGATAAGAGTTGGATTTCCAAGTGACGTATTGACCGAGAGACTTCAGGGGTCAATTATTTTTACCATTTTTAGGTTGCTGGCTATTAGGCTAAAGTAAACACATGTGTTATGGAGTTATAGGCTTGGCTGGTGGGGACCGGATCATCTCAGTAACCCTTCCATCAGTAACCATCAGTAACCCTTTCCCCTGGCCCCCACGTGTCAGCCTTAATCTTTTATTAAAATTCAACACGGAGGGGTAATAGGGTAAATTGTACCCCCTATTTAATGCTGACGCTGACGCGGATCCCACTCTCCCACCCCACCTAGTTCTCCTCTCTTTTACTCTTTGTTTTATTATTAGAAAAATACTTTATTTCCTCTCTCTCATCTACAACAAAAATGAATCTAATCATCCTAGCTATCTTTGTTCAAATTTCAACTCAAATTAAATGGTGATTTTTTCGTTAAATAATTTAGTGCAAAAGACAGTAATTACAAATATGAAATTTATTATCACTGTCTACTATCATGGTAAAACATGGTAAAATACGTTGAAAAAAAATTACAAATCTAACTACCATACACTACCAGTATATCACATGGTATAACGTCGTAAAACATGCTACAGAAATTACAAATCTATTTACCATATCATACCATATGGTATAACATGCTAAAATAAAATTACAAATCCAACTACCACCACATGGTAAAACATGTTACAGAAAATTATAAATCTAACTACCATACAATACCATCATAGTAGAACATGGTTAATCGAATGAACACAAATTAATTGTAATTACCATACAATACCACATGGTATGAGAAGGTAAAACCATACAAAAATAATATAAATCTAATTACAACCCTTTACGACCATAGTAAAACACGATATCCATAAAAATACATTTCGTTACCACACATTACCATATGGTATATACACATTACCATATGGTATAGTGTGGTATATACACATTACCATATGGTATATACACATTACCATATGGTATAGTGTGGTAATCTCAGTATATATATATAATTACGACTCTCTTCACTTTCTTCTCCAACTTCATTGTCTTCTAACTTTTTTTTCTCAGAACTGGAGTCGATTACCACCCACTGTCACCATGATAAAACTCGTGACCATAAAGATACATTTAGTTATCACACATTACCATATGGTATAGTGTGGTAATATCAATATATATTACCTAAAAGGAAGAAAAACAGAAGGAGGGAGAGAAAAAAAACTCGTCTTCTGTCTCCTCTCATTTCTCCTCCGCAATCAAGAACACCAAATGCAACAAAAAAAGAGGAGGAAGATCGGAATTGAAAATTCACAAACAAATACTAAAATATAAAACATGCAAACTTAACTCACATAGATCCGTCCCCTCTTGGTCAATATGGAACGTCATCTATTTTGAGGCCGAGAAAAGAAAGAACATAAGGAAGAAGCAGCTACAAAGAAGAAGGATTTGGAGCGTCACCAGATTTTGAGACATGATGTAGCAATTTTTCTTTGTCAATTGTTGAAGAAAAAAATAAAGAACAAAAGAAAGGAACATATCTAGATATGAGAAAAGGAGTTTGGAAGAGAGAAGGAAGAGAGGAAGGGAAAGAGAAAAGAGAGAGGAAGAGAAAAGTCTGGTTTCTCTTTCCTCCGTAAAAGTAAGTATATACATGCTAGAAAAGTAGAAAAAGACAAAAAATAAAATTCAAAAACCAGACAAAAATGCCCCTCCCCACCCCGCGTCAATCCCAGCCACACAATGATTCTGTCCCAGATCAACGGCCCATAAATGGTTACTCATGACCCCATCTCAAGCCTGGCTGGTGCGGTGTTTGGCTTGGCTGGCTGCACTAAACTAAGAGAGAGAAAGAAAGCAACAAGAGAGTTATGTTGGAATGAATCCAAGGTCTCGCGTCTCTTTTGGTTCCCCTGCTCATCTCCCTTACCTATCCTTCCAATCTCCCTACCTTTCTGCCAACAGCCTCTCGAAGATCGATATGGAGAAAGCTCTCGGTTCGTTTTGGTTGTGTTCCCATGTTATTCAACCCTCTCTCTGTGTTGCTTCGATTCGTAGAGATGGACAGCCAGGCAATCAAACAACACGGTGTGGTGTCTGTGTTGGGACAACTCGGATCCATCCATCTATGGAAAATGATTGAAGCAATGGATCTCTGTTGGTTTGTATTCCAGTTCTATCATCCTCATGCCTTCATAATGTTTTGTTCTTTCTGTTTAACCTTATATTGAAAGGCCTAATTCTCTATTGTTTCGATTAGATCCCAGATACGAGGAAGGTGGATTCATATATCTTCAATGGTTTTTATGCCGTTCTCGTGTTTCTGGGGGATAAAGTTGCTGTCTTTTTTATCCAATCTCCCAAGAACTGTCTCTTATGCCTTTTGGTCAATGATTCAAAGTTGTCCCAGATCTGGATTTGGTTTTCTTTTGTCAATCTAATTAAATCTTTCGGGGGAATTCCTTGTTTTGAGAAGGTGTGTGTTCTTGAAGTCCTTATTGATTTTACAAGGCATGATCACTAGGGTTCAAAAGAATTAGGTCATTGTGTAGAATTAGGGTTTACAATTGGGATATGTTTCTTATTTATCTGAAGGGGAGATTGATAAGCATGATAATGGTGTTTTTGTAGACTGGCAATCAAGGACACTCTACTGCCAATTGAAAACCATGACAATGAAGAAATCACTAGGGTTAAAAAAGAATTAGGTCTGAATTCGGGTTTACACTTGGTACAGATTTCTTATTAATCAGGTGGGGGAGATTGATAGTCGCATGATAATTTTGTTTTTGTAGATTCTGGCAATCGAGAAGACTCTACTGCCACTCGAAAACCCTGGAGATGCTGCAGTATTTGAAAGGTCTGGGTGTTTATCGCAATCTCTGACAGCTTGTAATAGTCATGGATAAATGGCATAAGCTTGACTGTCAGGCTACGAGCAACCGCAGGAGAGGGTTACCCGATATTCAAATGGATTTGCTGCATTACCTTCTAGGCTTATCCGCAAACTTCAGGTGTGTTTCTGCAGACAAGAAATCTTAGGGTTGTGTTTAAGAGATTTGTGGTATATTTGGCAAAGGAAGGCTTTGCATAGTGTTATTGAGGTAAATGGATCACTTTCGCTTTTTCAATTGAAGACTCCAGTTGTGATTCTGAGTCGTCGGGTGTGTTGGATCTATCATTGAACAAGTAAAAGTGGGTCATCTTCAGATGGGAATTTGTTTGAAGGGTCCTGTTTTACTGTTTATCTCTTTAGGAGTGATGGTTTTAAGCTAGACCAAGTAAGAAAGAAGTTGTGTTGGATCTCCCATTAAACAGGTAAAGACGGGCCATCATCAAATGGGAATTTGTTTAATGGGGTTCTGTTTAAGGGTTTATCTCTGGAGGAGTCATGGTTTTAAGAAGGACCAGCAACGAAGGACCTATCCCTGCAATTCCAGCTTCAATTTGTCTAAGTTTAGACTTGTATGAATGAATTGGTTGGATGAATGCCTTTTTGATTTCAGTCAAGCTTAGAAGAATCTCAAGCATCTTCTTGCATCTGTGAAGCTTGAGTGTATAATGATCACCATTAAGTTGCTGGATTCTTGGTGTTGCATAGCACCGTGTGAAGGAAGGAGTAGAATTATCTTCACCAGCCCTCCATTTAGGCTTTTGGAGGTCCGTAAGTCAAGCTCGTTAGGCCCGCTGACCCTCCACTCCAGCACATATGCTGCGAGTACATTGCTGCAACATGCATGAGTTAATTGGAAAACTAAGGTTCAGTTTCATACAGCTGCAGAAACAAAACGAGATGTTAAATTCTGAAGCAAAGAAGTTGACCTGTCTTGAGGTGCGGCTTGGCCTGCACGTTCAAAGCATCCTTGGTTCTATCTCGATCTTGTGGATCTTCCTCAATAGTTGGCAATGCAAACATGGTACCTGAGTCATCATTGGAGGGTAGGTTGGCTTACATTGCTACAGCGAACTGATCCATAGGGCTTTGTCAGCGAACTTAGGCTTTGAATAGCAGCAGTGCGTGGCCGAACAAAGGCAACAGTGATAATTCATGGAACAACTTAAAAGGTGACAACATTGTCAAGGGTTTTGTTGGTAGAGAGATAGAGAGAGCCACATGCATGGTTTGGCTCGGCAGGCTTTTTTGTTCTCGTGCGAGTGAAAACTTAAGAGGATTTCAGACTATGAATCTTACAGATTCCCTGTCTGCAAGATGTGATTTTTTCAGCAGCAGAGGTGATGGAGTTTGAGCGAACCAGTTTCAAGGCCATATCTCTCCAGTTCCACATGCAATTTGATCCATCTAGATTTTTCTAAGAACGAATCAATTGAGATGAGAGATGCTTTTTTCAGTTAAGCACAGAAGAATCTCGAAGCACTGTATATAGACTTGGTACAGTTGAAAGGTTTGAGCAATCGAATCAGTAAGCTCGGCCCATTTACTATTGGAAGCACCACTATTGCTACTGCTATATTACTAATGGAGATCCTAAACCACTATGGCTTCTCATTATCATCTACAATGCCAATCTCAGAGCTACCAAGGTTGCTACTTGCTAGTTCCTGTATGGATGCTTGTTTGTTTGTGCGAAGCCAACATGATGGAGAAGTTACTTGTAACTCGATCTTTATACCGAGAAGACCACTAGCCATCAGATGGAAAGAGGCCCATAATAGAAAAGAATCAGGTACTCTTTCTATTTTAGTGCTAAGAACAGAATTTAGTGCTTGATAGGTGAACATTAGAAGCTAGTCTACTGTGGTATGGCTTAGCAAAGATCTGATCAGTAGTTTCTATGTGGTATAAATTCTGGTAACTTGGTTTAAGTGGTTCGAATGATAAAAACACTTTGCTCCATCTTCTTCCTCGAGACAAACTCATTGCTGCCCCCTCTTTTTCTATTGGTCGGCGATTGGCTCCCTCTGTCTATCTCTCTAAACCCCGTCGCCCGCTGGCGATAGTTTTTCTCTTTTCATATCGCTTCGCCACCGGTGACTCCATTCATATCTCTATCGAAACCCCTTTGTCGACCCCCAAACTCTCTCTCGTAAGAATCCCGTCAATAGGATCAAAACATAGGGCAGTTTTACACGTCAACCATAACTCTATTCTATAAACTATCATTTTACAGTACATTGCTAACTCTCTAATTATCTAACTGCCTAAAGTAAACTTCTGCCATTGCAATAGCAAAATCTGGGCACTCCATGCATTTAAGTTCAGCATCAGCTCTCAGCTTTCTGCCAACTCATCCACCTGCAAACTTGTACTTCGAAACACACGAAGACATCTTTCCCTCCACTCTGCACATGAGGGCATGTGCCATCTAGTCCTTATATCCACTTCTGAACATTATTTAGTGTAGTTATCCTATCAAGAGCAATTAGTCAAGTAATCATAGTCTCTTGGCAGTTAATGCTTTCTCCATACTAACTCATGCCAAGGTACAATTGGCTGCTTTGGTCGAATTGTGTCCCACACAACCTGAATTGTAAATCGAGACATAGGGTTAGAAAGCCAAGTTATTCCATCATCTGTAACTTGCAAAGCTGATTTAACTTTGTCTCTCATTTGCAGCACCTTGTTCCACAGCCAAGACCCTTTTGTTTCAACTTCCCAGATATCCAAGTTCCTTAGCCTGTAATCTTTGAGCCAAGCAATCCACAGAGTTTGTTGATCATTCAAAACTGCCCACATATGCCTAACAAGGCAGACCTGGTTCCAACTATAGAGATCCTTAAAACCAACTCCCCCTTCCTTCTTCGGCAGTGCAACCATTGACTAGTTAACCTTTGCCTTCTTATGCTCATGTTCAGAGTATCAGAGAAAGTCAGAGCACAGCTTTTCCACCTCTTTCACTACTTTCTTTGGTAATTAGAAAACACTCATCCAAAACTGGGCTATGCTGGCCGATACTGCTATAATAACTTGTATCTTCCCAGCATGGGAGAGTAGTCTAGGTTCAAAGCCCTTTATTCTCCTTGTAATTCTGTCCACTAGCTGCCTGCAGTCAACTGAATTCTATTTCCTTGCCACTAATGGAAAACCAACAATCTAACTGGCAACTCTCCTTGAAAGCCAGACAATTTTACCACTGCAGCCTTAACTACTTCATCCATTCCGGAACAGTAGATAGCACTCTTACTAGGGCTAGTCCTGAGATTCTGTAGAAGTGCTATAGGATAGAAGCTACTACCTGCAACCCTTCTTCTGTCCCCTTAGTGAATATTAGAAGGTCATCAGTAAAGCTAAGTTGAGTTAATCCTCTACCTTAGCAGTCTGCGGATGATAAGGCAGAATCTTCCTCGAAGCAGTCCTGTTAAGTTATTTATGATAGTAACTTCCGTTTTTTGTTTCGAACTTCTAGGGATATGCTGGGCAATATCGGTAGCTTCAGCGGTGGAGGCCGTGATGAATCTTCATCGTGCAGAGGATGATGACACGCAATGGATGACCTCTTCACAAGAGTTAATGGATTGGGTACAGTCTGATCTTGATAATATTAAAAACAGTGGTTTGCGTAGAATGTACAATGTATGGAATCATGTGTTCAAGAAAAAAGTCTCCAAGGAGGAAAACTATAAGTATGTTGGTGAACCTGCGTTGGAGAAGGAACGTTTTGCACTAGGAGTGACAATACCAGAAAGAGTGGTAAGTTAATAACTGATACTCGAGATATTTTTTGGTTGCACTTCTCTTATTTTCTGTCTTTTTTGTTGTTGCAAATGATGTAGGTGTTGAGGATATCAGGTTTTGAAGTGATAGAGCCTGTAGATGATGAAAGGCTTCTACTTAGACAACTTGCTACAATGCCAGTTGTGGCTTCTCTGGAGGCAACTCCATCATTCCTTGATTGGAAAGGGGTAAACGGTTTGTTTGAATATGATAATAAGTTCTTTGAGGTTTTTGTTGAACAAATTTAATTATGTAAGCCTGATTTTGTTTGAATAGCAAACCATTTTCACTAGGGACACTGAGACAACAGAGGATCAGAAAACAAGGCGTGACAAGAAGGTTGAGTTGCACTCCATCCTCGTCGTAGGCGTGACAAGAAGGCTGAACTATTTCCTCATTAGGAATTCATATGGGAAAGACTGGGTGTTTAAAATTCGTGGAGCTGACAGAAGGTGGACAGCTAAAGGTCTCGGGAAGGTATTGAGAGCATCCTCGCGGTCAAGTAGACAATCATTGTTCACTTCATTTTCTTATCCAAAACCATGGGTGCCTCCATAAGGTACTCTTCCGACGTATTTACTTTTCTTGATGAATACTTTACTTAATAACACACATCAAGAAGGGAAAACAGATGCCTTGAGCATTGAAAGTAAAGTTTGTTCATCTTTGTCGATACTGAAGGTTGCTTTTTCATATAAGCAAACAGTGATGCTAACACACTGTTTAATATAGACTTCATTCAGTTTCACCCAGGTGATTCATAGATGTCATTAATAGTTTAACTTTCTACAAAAAACAGACTTGTACTACGCAATACGCTAAAAGAAAACAACAACTTCAAAAGTCTATATTAATCAGTGTGTTAGCATCACTACTTGCTTATATGAAAAAGCAACCTTCAGTATCGACCAAGATGAACAAGTTTACTTTCTATGCTCAAGACATCTGTTTCCCCTTCTTGATGTGTGTTATTAAGTAAAGTATTCATCAAGAAAGTTAAATACGTCGGAAGAGTACCTTAGGGAGGCACCCATGGTTTTGGATAAGAAAATGAAGTGAACAATGATTGTCTACTTGACCGCGAGGATGCTCTCAATACCCTCCCGAGACCTTTAGCCTCCCAACTTCTGTCAGCTCCACGAATTTTAAACCCCCAGTCTTTCCCATATGAATTCCTAATGAGGAAATAGTTCAGCCTATTAGCAGTCTTTCCATAGCCTACGACGAGGATGAAGTGCAACTCAACCTTGTCACGCCTTGCCTTCCGATCCTCTGCTGTCTCAGTGTCCCCAGTGAAAATGGTTTGCTATTCAAACAAAATCAGGCTTACATAATTAAATTTGTTCAACAAAAACCTCAAAGAACCTATTATCATATTCAAACAAACCGTTTACCCCTTTCCAATCAAGGAATGATGGAGTTGCCTCCAGAGAAGCCACAACTGGCATTGTAGCAAGTTGTCTAAGTAGAAGCTTTTCATCATCTACAGGCTCTATCACTTCAAAACCTGATATCCTCAACACTTGTATCGTTTGCAACAACAAAAAAGACAGCAAATAAGAGAAGTGCAACAAAAAAATACATCCAGTATCAGTTATTAACTTACCACTCTTTCTGGTATTATCACTCCTAGTGCAAAACGTTCTTTCTCCAACGCAGGTTCACCAACATACTTATAGTTTTCCTTCTTGGAGTCTTTTTTCTTGAACACATGATTCCATACATTGTACATTCTACGCAAACCACTGTTTTTAACCTTATCAGACTGTACCCAATCCATTAACTCTTGTGAAGAGCCCATCCATTGCGTGTCATCATCCTCCGCACGATGAAGATTCATCACGGCCTCCACCGCTGAAGCTACCGATATTGCTCAGCATATCCCTAGAAGTTCGAAACAAAAAACGGAAGTTAATATCGTAAATAACTTAACAGGACTGCTTCGAGGAAGATTATGCCTTATCATCCGCAGACTGCTAAGGTAGAGGATTAACTCACCTTAGCTTTATTGATGACCTTCTAATATTCATTAAGGGGACAGAAGAAGGGTTGCAGGTAGTAGCTTCTATCCTATAGCACTTCTACAGAATCTCAGGACTAGCCCTAGTAAGAGTGCTATCTACTGTTCTGGAATGGATGAAGTAGTTAAGGCTGTAGTGGTAAAACTGTCTGGCTTTCAAGGAGAGTTGCCAGTTAGATTGTTTGTTTTCCATTAGGACAAGTCTGTTTATTGTAGAAAGTTAAACTATGAATGATATCTATGAATCACCTGGGTGAAACTGAATGAAGTCATTGTTACTTCTGTATTACATGCTTGCAACCATGGGAACTGGTAGATGATGACATGTAACAGGACCATAATTGTTAGCCTTACTAGCAACTTATGGAAGATATGTGCTTCGTTCAGTGTTTGTTAATTCGATACACATAGATAAGGAGATGCACGAATCTATCTTTGAAGTTTGTACTAACAAATGCATCAAGTTTAATAAATATTTAAAGATGACAGATGTTTTTGAGTTTTATTGTTACCTTGATGATGCGTGTTTCCCCTACGTTCGGAGTGGTTCCGTTTATGGCTTACTGTTCTTTTAAAATTATGGTTCCTGCATCTGCAGTATTCGGCTCTGGAATTTCCCTTACTAGATGATCAAGTATTAGCTTGGAATTTTCCTTATCTGATGATCAAGTATGATCACTACAGTATAATTTTTCAATTACCTTGGACTGAGCAATTGTCTGCTCGGTTTTCAAAGCTGATGCAGCTTAATTTGCATGAGCAAGCAGGCAAACATGAACATTTTGCTTTAGACTGTTAATGCTCTGAATCTATGGAGCCTTAGTTCCCATGTTCAGGTTGTTTCGTATTTTGCATACCCAGTCTTTGCATGCTTGAGTAGTGAGGACGTGGCAGCCCTTGTGGTTGTGCTCATCCTCAGTTTTTCTGCAAAACTGCCCCTCTCCCTTTCTTTTCGTGGGCAAGAATGCAGAAACCAAGTTCTTGTTTCATGTGAAAGGGTTTCATAGTTCTTTAATATCTCTTGCAAGCATCTAAATTTGGCCATTTGGTTTCTCCGCTGCACTGAAACTCCTATTCTTTTGTTTGCTTTCTCTATATCAGGAACAGGTTGACCTGACTTGTACTTAAATGGAGCAGTGGCTACATTTGGCTGGTTAATTAAGTTTGGAGAACTTTGTGAGGAAAGATGCAGGCTCTCTGGTGAAGCAGATGAGCTCAGGGAAAGAGCACTTTTGTTTTTGTTTTTGGAATGTAATTGAAAGCATTTATCTTGAAAGTGAGTGTTGGAGAATGCAGGGTCCGTTTATGCACACACTTGAGGCACTTTGGCGAGACTCGGAGCGTTTGATGCCTACTGCTGCAGTTACCATAGAGTTAAATATGTACTCCTTACTCTAGCTTTTATCTACTGATGAGACGCCTGAAAATCAAATTGATCTGACTGAAAAATGAAAGCAAATGCAGATGGGAACTTGCCTTTACAGGCTTGAGCAAGTTAGTTGGCAGAGGCCTTTGATACTGCTTCGGATAAGCGATTCTCTTGTTTGTTGCTTGAAGACGAATTAATTCAAGCTTGGAATTTGCTACTTGATAACCCTCGTGAATGTTTACGGTCGGAAAGTAATCTCTTTGGTGGTGGTGTAGCCAAAGCCTCAGGATTTTATGCAAGTGTTCCAGTCTATTTGGGGATGGTAGGGCGGGGCTTGTAAGGAGCACTTGGTAATTTGATTTTTTTAATATCTTTTTTGTGGTGGAAAGGAGGACGCTAAGGGGCTCTGGCTCTCTAATCTCAATTATTAATCATGGAGGCCCCGATAACATCTCGATACAACCAGCGATCCATAACTGGCTCAGTAACATCAATAATGGACGCCCAATATGCATAGCATGTCCCAAGCTAGATATATATGGTAGCTTCTATCGTATCCTGGGTAAAGTTCGGGATATTGCCGTATCTTGGGTGATTTTCACCGTACACAAGATCTTGACGGTTCTAATATTTCCTGCGATAAATGGGATATTATTAATGAATAAAATTACCAAAAGCCTCTTACAACATTTAATTGTTTTCGGTTTAATCCGTTTAACACATCTCGGTCGGTTGGATGGCTTTAACGAATCAGGGTTTCTTTTAGCTTCCAACCATTGGACCAAACCCCACTCCCCAAAATGCAAATCCCCTAAAATGGTAGGCTACCCTCCCCGACCTCATTTGAAGACCAATTCTATTTCCCTCCTTGTTCGTCTTCTTCTTCTTTGTCTATCCCTTTCAATTGCTGGTCGATCTCCCACCTCTCTTCCCCAGCACGACCGGACAATCCCTCCGCCGACTGCCGGAACTTGTGCCTGGAATAGTCGATCTCAATTCCAGCCCCTACGAACCTTCTGCTGCTTTCTCCGATTAATTCCCTCCCTAGTCTGATAGAGATATGATCGAAATTGCTTCATGGCCTGTAATTTTGATGTTCTAATTTATTTTAACATTCTGGAGTAGCAATTAACATAGAGACATCGAATCAGTTTTGAGCTTCTTAGAGTGTGTTAATTTTGATGTTCTAAACTGACATCCCAATAATTGTTGGCGGTAATGAAGTTCGGTAGGAAACCTAGCTTTCTCTTACGTTGGAGACAGGTGAATGATAAGGAAGATGGGAGAATGTAGGGTTTAATCGGAAAATACTTAGCTGGACAACCAAAACAAATCTATTTAGGCCCACTTTAGCCCACTATTTAAAACAAAGCCTACATTCAATCAAACGATCAACTAAAAGTTAAAACCCTAAACAAATACCAACTTACGGCATGTTTGTCACAAATAGACGCCCTCTGAACTTTCCGATTTCTAGTGATTATCTCTTTCTTTTTTTTATGTAAGCTATTGATTAACTCTATTAATTTACATATTTATCACTCATTTAATAGACATACATACTAAAAACCTAACTACTTCTTCGATGGGAAAGAGGGAAAATACTTGGCTGGACAACCAAAAAAAATCTATTTAGGCCCACTTTAGCCCACTATTTAAAACAAAGCCTACATTCAATCAAACGATAACTAAAAGTTAAAACCCTAAACAATTACCAACTTACGGCATGTTTGTCACAAATAGACGCCCTCTGAACTTTCCGATTTCTAGTGATGATCTCTTTCTTTTTTTATGTAAGCTATTGATTAACTCTATTAATTTACATATTTATCACTCATTTAATAGGACATACATACTAAAAACCTAACTACTTCTTCGCTGGGAAAGAGGTTCTAGTTGGTTGATACTCTAATCTACACATAACTAGTTTTTTACCCGCCCGTTGGGCGGTGTATTTTGTTTGGTTGTTTTATAATTCGTTATAGTATTCTAATTGTTATTATTATTTATGTTTGCTAAGGTAATATACATGGAATTGTAAATCCCACTTACCTTATTTCAAGTATTATTTCATACTTTTATACCTTTTGTTTATTTATGAACATTTTAATTTTATTAACTGAGCTCTTTGTAGACGGTTCTTTATTGATTTAGAATTTTTTTATCGAACTCGCCATTTAATGAGGAAACTCATTATACTGATCTAAATCTCATGAATATCGTGTATTATCACTTACACATACAATTTTGAAAGAATGAGGAAACTCATTAGCATCCACATCCATCAATCTTCCACGTACTTGTTTAATTACCTTGAAATGTTCTAGCAAAACCAACCACAAACTAAACTATCAGCTGTCACTAACTTATTAAAGCAATATTTTCAGCAAACTAAACTGCATATAATTAAACACAATTTATATTTTGTAGAGAGCTACATATCTCCTGCAAAAAAGAATTGTGCTTTATTACCTAATAACAACATAGACAAATAATGAAAGGAGCAGTTTAATTCAGATTCCTCATTTGTGAACTGAATATATGAATCAATCCAAATAGTAGTTTGTAAGAAAACAATCATGTCAAAATCAATCTTTAGTTAGGGATTCAATGCAGAAAAATTCACCTTAATGAAACAAACAAATGTCACCGCAAACATGTAGAAATTAAAAAAACATCGAAATAGACAACCGAGAAACCACCATTATCATTTTCTTTCTTCTTCGCGACCTTTATAAAACCCCAATTATGTTCCCTTCTACTTATAACCCCTTTGCTGCCTACTAATTACTAACCAGATCATCATTGTATAGCTAGCTAGTAGTAGCATGTCAATCATGAACATAAATATAATAAACAATCATCACAACTCTACTTTCCATTTCAACATTCAAGAAATATGGTTGCAATAGGCATTCAAGAAAAATGATCAATTATTCAACCAAAGAAGGTATGCCCTAAGTCCAACCAATTAACTCTTCTAATTATATTTTATATACATGAAAGTATATGGCGACCCTTCTTTGTAAAAAAAAAGACGAAATATATTCACTCATCGAGAGTGGGAAAATTTACCATCCAGCAGTCATAATTTGGAAGAAATTAAGAAAAGAATGAGAAAAAGAGTTTAACTCGTCCAGTCAACCGCAAACAATAACATATCGCTGAGAAAGTGAGACCAGTTGCCAGCTTCAGATCAAGGAGGAAGAGGGAGCAGTCGACAACCCTCGGCTTGGTTCACCTCATCTTCACAATGATCAGATTAACTTTTTTCGTCAATAGGCAAAAATATGTTGCAACTGCTCAAAATTTTGTCATCTTATCGTTGTCTCGTGTAATTTCTGCCTCCTATTCTCATACAAAGAAAAAAAATCGTATGCATTACCATTTCCTTCTCTATAAATTATGAGAATACAAATATTAGAAATCTCAAAAAATTTAGCAACTAATAAGAGGGTTTTATTTATTTTTATGGTGGTTGACATACTTTCTTGATTTCTTATTTTCAATGTTGAATTTTATTTATAGAGAGACAATCAAAATGGGGAAAGGGATAGAAACAAATTAAAAGTTTGTATTAATAATTAATATATTTTCATTTAATAGAAATGAATAAGAAGTTTTAAAAAAATAATAATTATTGCTCTATCAAGTTTATATTCAGACATTTTGCTTTATAATTTATACTTGTTTTATTTGATAGGTATATACATAAGAAAGAAGTGAGTGTTTGATAGCAAAACACATATATGCATATCGTTCATTTCACAAAGTCGATTGATTGTCAAACGTTTATTTTCTCTTAGACCATCGTTTATATTTTGTATTGAAAAATATTAATATTTATGTATGTGCTTGTTTTTTTTCTTCATCAAAATGTAACTTATTATTAAGTTTTAGTAAAAATGAGTAGAAAATTTACTTAATCAGCTTGGGTTAAACAAATACAATATGTCACTCTCTGTTTCCGTCTTTATAGTTCATTTAATCGAATTTTTTATTATTACTTAGTGTGTGTTTTTTGTTTAAATGTTTCCTAAAAAATTAACTTATTTTAATTTTAGTAAAAATGAGTAGAATTATTAAAAGAAGAGAGAGACAACTTCATAAATAGATCAATAAATAGTTTTTTGTTTGAAATTTTTTTTGTCCACCTTGGCAACTTGTGCATTCACCAAGTGCTTATGTGGCAAGATGTTATTTTTGAATAGCCATAATATTTAGTATAGATAGATATAGATAGATAGATAGATATAGATATAATAGCACAAAGAGAAAAACTGCGGCTCCATTTCAAATTTTCTGCAACGAGAGTGAATCTAGGAAGGACATTTTGGTGTACTGGAATCGAACCATGGTCACTTTAAAGAAAAGCAAGGAACATAACCAATCACACTAAGTATATTTGTTGTATCTTCTTAAATTAAAAATAGACATGAACCTAAATTCTGAAGATCATATGACTTTTTCACGATTAGATGGTCACCAAATTTTCCGCGAGTACTTATTTGGTGTTTTGATACTTCGATTTCAATATTTTGATTATTTTAGTTGTATTTTAATACTTAATTTAAATTTCTATATATCTTATATATATGATAACCGTAAAATTGCAGTCCAAATATCACTGATTTGAATATTACATATCGAATTGCAATGTTAAACATGTAGTAGCAATGTCGAGTTCTTATATTAGTATTAGTTTTCAGAATTACAGTGAAGCAATCATATCTTTGTGCAAACTATATGGCACTGGTTCCTTTAAGAATTTAGTCGGGTTAACTGCTACGTTATAAACCTCTTTATATATAATCCATGGAACAGGAAACCGGATCGTACCGGCCGGTTCAACCGGTTCAACCGGGAACCGGACCAGGGACGATACGACACCTATTTACCAAGCAAATTACCGCGCCGGCCGGTTTTTACGGTATAACCGGCATAACCCGAGATACCGTCCGGCTTTATTCCGACCGGCGGTAGACTGATTTCAAAGAAACGTCGCCGATTCATGCGGCGAAATTGGGGGAAAAAACGTGCAAACTAACAACCCTAATGGCCTAATCCCTAATCGATTCTTTCTTCGCCGTCGTTTCGGTTTCACTTCACCCTTCCCCTCCTCCTCTTCTCCAGAACGCCGCCTGCTCGACACTCGGCAGAAGAGAACGGGGGATCTTGTGCTCTCCGCAGGCCTGGTTTGTGGTTTCCCTCCGCCGTCCTTGATCAGGTTTCCTTCCTTGGTAATCG